CTACAACTAACATGTCCTCTTTAACTGCATCTCTAACATCCTGATACCAATATACCCACTGTCCCTCCTCTGGACACGTCCAAACCAATATACCCACTGTCCCTCCTCTGGACATGTCCAAACCAATATACCCACTGTCCCTCCTCTGGACACATCCAAACCAATATACCCACTGTCCTTTCTCTGAACATGTCCAAACCAATATACCCACTGTCCCTCTTCTGGACACATCCAAACCAATATACCTGCTGTCCCTCCTCTGGACACGTCCAAGTCATCTCAGTCTGGTCTCTGTATTATCTCTCAGACCTTCATCCTCTCTGTCCCTCTGATGGTCTCAGTCCTAATTTTCTCCATCCTTGTCTCTCCCGAGGAGAACCTCTGTATCTTCAGCTCCGACACTTTCAGTTCCRTCTCCTGTCTTTTTGTCCATGTCTCTGTCTGCATACCAGACAACCAGCTTGTCTCACCGCGTCTCTTAACCTTCCTTTGAATCTGATCTGAATCTTATGTTCTTCACCACTCTGGACAGTGGTTGTAAGTATTTTAGTTTTTTGCTGACTGTCATTCCTCCTCTCTCAGGAGCACAGCTCCACTTCTCCTGGCTCTCTTCCACCTGTTCCCTGTTCAGTTGTCCTCTGCAAACCTCACAGTCCAAACATGAGACGAACATATCTGATTTGGTTGAAGTGTCAGCAGCAGCTTGCAGTAAATCAGCTTTAAATCTTTGATGCAGTTTGCTCGTTTGTATCTCTGCACAGAGGAGCTGAAACTAACCCCCTCCTGAAAGTAGGTAAGTAGGTCTTGACTTCATGTGGTCTCTGCAGGTTTCTGCACCAGTTTACAATAAGTGGGTTAGAGAAAAGTACACAAGAGTCCGTCATGTCTGTTCTTATTCAGCGTCGACCATGATGGGACATTTTCATTTTATTTAAGACGTCACCGCTCTGTCTTACAGACCAGAAAGTTCAACCGTTCTATTTTTATTTTCAGGCCTTGTTGAATCATCTTTACTGGTTTAGTGTGTTTTCTGTACTTCTGGGTTTATTTTGACTTTATTTTCAGGCTCCACTTTCTTAAGATTTCAGCATCTGGATGTGCTGATCAGGACTTTTTCATAAGAATGTGTGAGTATGTCTGAACCAGCTGCAGTTGTCTCAGGTCACGAAGCTGCAGTCAGGGATGTTCTGGCCGTGCCCCTGAAGAAATTTAAAGTTAGTAGAGGTTAGTAATGATGTTAAAAACACAACACTATATTCTTAGGTTTTACTTTTTGTAATGTTTAGTGTTTAATCTATTATGTTTTGATTGAAATAGGTATAGTTACATGTCCGAAACATCTGTTACAACACATAATTAATCGTTGGGATGACATTAGCTGAGGATTTTGTCTGAATGCCTGTGATTCAGCCGTAGGTCAGTAGGGGGCGAGTGCAGGCATTGAATAACTTGTATAAAWACAGGAACTTCCTGTTTTTCCGGCCAGTGTGGGTTTACTGTCTGCAGGCGCAGTAATAAACCCCACTCGATTCCAGAATTCTGGTGGTGTATGGTTTTCATTCCTCCTACAAATCATTTTATTTAACATTTGTGTTTATTATATCGACTATTAAATACGAATTTTCTTACACCCCAACACCTCACACTGCACCACTGGCCTGTTTAAGAAACGCTGCCACAGAAAACCCTAACCGCCCAGCCGGGGCCACAGATTTAACTGAGTGTGGGAGAAAGATGGACCTGCTGCTGAGTTTATTTTTCATCTGAAATAGAAAAGGTCTTCGTTATGATATATTTTATTTTTGTCCTCAGGATGATTTTATCCATTTATTTTTACCCTAAAAATAAAACTGAAAACTCAAAAGTTGTTTGCACTCAAAACGTTTTGTTATAGATTAATTAAACTGTAAATTTACAATTAAAAACTATAAATTTATGTTTAATTTAAATACTCCAGGCATGTTGTTCTGCTCTCATCTGAAGACATTAATTAAAAGTATTTTTATCGTCCACCTAGTCGTTTCTTTTCCCAGTTTATTTTTGTTTTTGTTTCAGTGCGATCTCAATGCATCTCTGTAATTCTAAAGTCTTATTAGGACAATAAAAACCACATCAGTAAAAGATGAAATTACACACAAACAGTCGCCCCCTCATTTGACGYGGCTCCGCAGCTAAATAAAAAAAACTTCGGCTGAGAAGCGGCCTGCAGCTACAAACTGCTGACAGTTCAATAGTCAGATTTCTCTCGCTTACGTGACCTAATCTCGAGAGTAACCACAGCGCCCCCTGCTGTTTGGATGTTAGTTAATCTGTTGTTTAATGGAAAAATGACTTGATATTTAATCTGTAATCTATTCAAACTTAATCTAGTTAGTTTGTGTTCACTTGAGTTACTTGTGTGAAACTGATCAAATGTTTCAAACATCAGTTTTTAAAGTAGTTTGATGGTTCCATATTGTTTCAGGTTGTTCTGTTTTGTTGCTTGAATTCTATTTTTTTAGATCAGATCCAATAAATGCGTTCAATTCAAACTTTGATTTTTTAATGACATTGATGTTTCGATGGTGTTAAAGGTCTCGTGTCGTTTAGTTTGATGTTATTTGATGATATTTTGGTTTTAAGGTTCTGAATCTGTTTTAAGAGGCATTTAAATAAGTCAGGAAGAATTAATTAATAAATTAAAATATGAACCATAAATTTCCCCTGAACACTTTTAYTTTTGGACATCTGAGTAGCTGAAGTCCTGCTGAAAACATAACAAACAGGAGCATTAYGTTTACACTTTATTTCATAATTTTGTACAAAAAGCACATTCTCATTACAAGTTACAAGTTTTAATACTGAAACATTAAAAAAATACAAATCTGCCAAAACATGGCAAAGTCTTTATCACCAGACTCATTTCATCTTTTCAGCTCAGGTTCTATAGCATCAAATACACTTTAATAACATCAATTATAAATACTTTATGTGAATATGGATAAAAACAAAGATACAATTAAATTATTAAATAAATAAAAGTATAAAAATGTGCTAAATGTTTAAATACAATAAATATGTTTCTTAGGAAGCCCTGAGGCGTCAGTTAACAGCGGCAGCGGCGGTGGTGGTTGGAGCGGCAGTGGCAGATTTGGAGGCGCGGTTGGAGGCGGAGTTTGAGTTAGAGCTGGAGGCGGAGCGTCTGGGCGCCTTGCAGTAATCGTGCAGGTACGTGAACAAGATGTCGATCTCTCCCACTGCTTTGTTAATGCCTCGCTCGCCCTCCATCTGAAACAAATAGMAACACATTAGAACCAATAGGAACATATTAGAAACAAATAGAAACATTAAAACAAAGAGAAACACATTAGAAACCAATAGAAACATATTAGAAATGAATAGGAATATTAGATACCAATAGAAACACATTAGAACAAATAGAAACACATTAAAACTGATAGAAATACATTAAAAACCAATAGAAACTCATTAGAACCAATAGAAACACATTAAAAACCAATAGAAACACATTAAAAATGATAGAAACACATTAGAAACAAATAGAAACACATTAGAAATTAATAGAAACACATTAGAAATGAAAGAAACACATTAGAAATGATAGAAACACATTAGAAACGATAGAAACACAGAAATGATGGAAACACATTAGAAACTAAAGGAAACACAAGAACCAGTAGAAGCACATTAGAAACCAATAAAAACATGAAATGATAACATTTTTGTATATAACGAGTTATTTATTAATATTAGAAATAGATTTAAATGTTTAATCTGCAACATCAAAGTGCTTCATAATGTTTTTGTATTTCTTAAAAGTAKTTTTATTTTTTAAATTATACACTTATGTTGTCATAAAACAGCTGTTTGACCACGTTAAGAAAACAAACACATGGCTTTGTTTTCATTGATGTGTATTTAGAACATGTGGTCCATTTATAAAAAGAAAGGTTCTGTCGWGTCGTGAACCTCACCTTCTCCAGCTTCTTACGGAACTCAACAGCGTGTTGATGGTCGTGATAATGAGTCACGTTCTGCAGGGACAGAAACATTCATGAGGTTAGCATCTCTTATCAGTTTGATCTGTGTGTGTGTGTGTGTGTGTGTGTGTGTGTGTGTGTGTGTGTGTGTGTGTGTGTGTGTGTGTCAGGACGCCTCGTCTTTGAGCAAAACCACAGAAAGTCGTATCGATTTCAGGATCGACCACATCGAGATAAAACACAAAGCTCCTCCTAGGAGGGGAAACCTTTTTTTTTAACTGAGTCTGACTTTTTCCTTTATAAAGAGTTTATTACCTCCTGAAAGAAGCATTATTAAACAGTTTATACAGAGTTCATTGATTCATTCAGGAGGTAATAAACAGTTTATATAGAGTTTATAATGCTTCATTGAGGTTATAAACAGTTTATAAAGAGCTTATCAATGCTTCATTGAGGAGGTTATAAACACATTATAAATAGTTTATTAATTGTTTATTCAGGAGGTTATGAACAGTTTATAAATAGTTTTATTAATGCTTCATTCAAGAGGTTATAAACAGTTTATATAGAGTTTATAATGCTTCATTGAGGTTATAAACAGTTTATAAAGAGCTTATTAATGCTTCATTAAGGAGGTTATAAACAGTTCATAAATAGTTTTATTAGTGCTTCATTCAAGAGGTTATAAACAGTTTATATAGAGTTTATTAATGCTTCTTTCAGG